ATTTTTTTTTTTTTTTTTTTGTGAAGCTCTTTGACACACTGAAGAAAGGCGACCTTTACTTTGCCGCGCAAGTAAACAGTGTAATTCCCTGCGCTTTTTGTGGGCATGTGTATTCAACCCATGGTGACAAGAGGGACGAAGCGCCCTGTGTTGAAGCCTACTGTTCTGTCGTCGGTGCGCACCCCCACCTTTTGCCCAAGATTATCTATCGAACCCTGGACGGTGTACCCCTGAAGAGCCCACCCGCAGAATATCAGCAGACTCCCTGGAGCGCCTCCGCAGGGCATCCCGGGAGCCCTGATGATTATCCCGGCCCACTAAGAAACCCTGAAGTGCCCATCCCCGACGGATCCTGCAAAGCATTTGTGGAGTGCCCGGGCCTAAACCCAGATCCAAGAGAGCCATTTGCAGTTCCCGCAGCCAGAGTATCCCGCAGAGTATGATAGGAGGCTTGGAGTACCCAAGAGCACACTCGGAGTGCCCACGCCAAGAGCTGTTCGGAGTCAAAGGCTCTGAAAACGTCGCGCGTAATTTGTGGTATCCAGCAGAGTCAGTAGAGTACAGCTCCCGCGGACGATCGAGGCAGAGAACTCGTGCCAAAAAAGGCTTCGTGCCCTGACACTTTAACGCCAAGACTCCGAGATCGAGACGGAGTCGGAGCATGCCCGCGGCTCCAAAGGTCGGTGCAGCTTGAGGCGGAGGTGGACACGCGGGGCAGTCCTCCATGATTCTGCCTCAAGAGTAAGCCTTGTTAGCAAGTTCCACTGAGAGTGCCGTCGGATTTCTGAATGAAGTCATATGAAGTCTTGTGACCCAAGTCAACGCATCCTCGAGGACTGTGCACACGGGGGGCTCGCTTGTGCGCGGGAAGAGACAAGGTTTTCTGCCCAAGAAGGAAGAGGCTGAGTGAAAGGAGCGAGAGGCGAAGAGGGGATCGTGCCCCAAACTGCAAGCCAGTCGATCAAAGATACAGGCGGTGACCGACCATGTCTCCGCATTCGCACCGTTCGCAAATAGGTTTGTCGTGTCGATTAGCATCAGGATGTTGATGAGGAGCCGGGTAGTTGCACAGACTTCCCTGCTCACCTGGACGGCAACATTCAGGAAACACATCTGTGGATTGATTGATTTTCCAACATGTCAAGCACAATCTTCGTCACAGCATCTGCGACCATGCCTGTGCACTGCTGGCCCAAGGCTGCAGCTGCCGACGAGGAACGTCCTGACCGAAGCCACGAGGCGATGAAGAGCCGGTTGGGGTAGGATGCTGACAAGACTCCTTAGACAAAGCAATCATCCATCCGGAACGCAGCCGTCCAATTCACGAGAGGATGATGCTGGTTCTCACGATGCAGCCAGGCCCATGAGACGGAAGAGGCCCAACAGGACCTTGCCGAGGTGCCTGTGCGGTCAGTTTCTTTAGATGAGACACGATGCCATATGGATGCTTGATGACGTTGGTCAGGCAGAGGCAATGCGGATACCTGTCAAAGAGATGGGAGACTGAAGGCACGAGAATGCTTCTCAGTCTGATCGAACATCAAAGGAAAGCATGCCTGGCGGCCTAAAGTACGGCCCAAAGGCTGCTCCCGCTGCGACTGGCAGTAGAATCATGATGAATGGTACAGGTGCCCTTGCTCCTAACGTGCATTAATTCCGAGGCTCGCGTTTAAAGAGCCGCTAGGGATGCCTCTGCATGGAGCTCGTTTCTGCAGGCTCCGACGGGTAATCAGACTGACTCAGTGGGATTGGCCCCACCAATCTCTGATGCATGGGCCCACACGAGTCCGCGAACTGTCGGACCGAGGCCCAGACTTTAACACTGCCCGGCATCGTGTTGAACAGAATTCAGCCATTTTCCATGCAGCCTAACGGGCCTAACGCGCCAGCAGGACCGCATAGGGCGTGGCGCTTGCCTATGTACAGCAGAACCAGCAGCATGCAAATGCCAAACGTTCGACCATACGCCTTGCTGCGGCTTCAGTCGCCTTCAGCCTCCTGACCGTGACTCCGGCAGGAGCGAGCCAGATGGCGAAACTGGAACGAGGGTGGAACCGGTGCGAGACTAGCACTCGGAGACGAGTCAGTGCCGTGCAGCTTGCGGCCTGAGGCGGCTACACGCAGCAGTTCTTCGACAGGCGCCCAAAGACTTGCGGTGCCTTCAAGGGCCCTGATTCCCATGTGCAGGTACAAGAATTGTCGGGCCTTCGAACCAAAGCCGAAAGAGGATAAACGCCTGAAAGGGTGGCGAGCTCGGCCTCAAACAGACCGCAGCCTCGTTTTCCTCAAAGCCTGCGGAGTCTTATCGACTTTGTACGCCCAAGCTTTCCGACTTTGCAAGGCATTGTTGCAGAAGGTTTAACATCCAAGACAAGATCAAGGACCAACAAAAGCCCTCCCAGAACCTGCCGAGCCTTGCTGTGACAAAACGCTATACCATGCACAAAACGCGGCGGAAGTTCTCTGATGTGTTTCGCACAGATCCGGGGATGCGACATGAGACTATAGAATGCAGTTTGTCAACTTGCTGTAACTTCTCGTTTGAGCCCAACTGCAATGCGAGAAATGGAGAACCCGGCTCAGGTCTGTGGGTCCTGGCACGGGCATGGAGTACATGGCACGCTGGACCGGCCTGGGCCTTCGACGATGCTAGACTCCCCCGTTCTTCCCCCTTTCTGCCCCCATTTTGTTTGCGGTGCGTTGGGCATGTTGGGCTTTGGGACCGGCGAACAATTTGGGGAAGTTGCTCTTCTGCGCGACACACTCGAGGCTCCAAGAACTCCTTCAACTGAGCAACGCAATGGCGGACGTGTGATTGGGGGGAGCCACTAGAGTCACTAGAGTCACCAGAGCCCATGGCATCATGGAAAAAGTATAGTGAACTTGGAAAGACTCCAGGGTCCATTTCGAGAAGTGCATAGAGGTTCTCTTCGTGCCTCTCGTGTCAAGCGCTCGCCAATCTCCTTCAAGATGGATAGATGGAGTCCTGAGTCTGCTTTCACGCCGTTCCTGTCAGATCGCCCGAGACAGACAGTAAAAGATGCCGTTTTTGGCGGGCAAATGCAGACTCTGTTGGACAGGTCTGAACTTCGCCAAAGCTTCGATTGCTCTTGCTTGCAACTTTTTTGCCCGAACAACTTTGGGCGATGTTGCTCTTTGCGACGTTGGCTCGTTGCTAGCTCTACAGTAGCAATGCATGTGATCCTCTAACCCCTGCTACCGGAAACGAGAAAGGCTGTTAAGCCCATGCAGAAACCCAGAAGCTCTTCCACATCCTGGAAGAATGTCGTCAGCTTGGAGCTTTGAAAGCTGTAGAAGCCAAGAGCCGACTTGACCGATGAAGTCCTTCGTGCCAAGAAGCGGCGGCCAAAGGTGCCCGTGTACCCCGTGTACCCTCGTAGTCATCTTCTGAACATCTACAACAGCGAAGGCAAACAGGAATAGGCCTAGGCCGAGAATCCACGAGTTGTCCTCGCTATGGAGAAGCTCAGCAGCATTCAGTGCCTCGTGCATGGCTTTCTGCGTTACGATTAAGCTTGATTAAACCTGCCCTCCTGAAGCACTCGAGATGTAAGGATTGTCGCCAAGTCCATCGCTTCGCCAGCAACAGCTCGTGTGCTGTTGACAGGGCTGGGGCTCTTAAGAAAATCGCTTTCGCTTCCTGTTTGGGACGCTTTGCCCAGGTTGAAGCTGTGCTGGCGGGTCCTGGCTCCAGAGGTACTATCGAGATTAGTTGTCCCGTGGAGAACTGCGACTCTCTTGCTTCACAGGTGTTTCTGCGACAGCTGGCGGCACTGGCGGTACTGATCATTGTGCGACACTCGTCGGATTCCCAGCTGGGAAGTTGTCCATGTGCGCTTCGCCTGCACCGTCGCAATGAAGCCCAGCCAGCGAGGGAACGGTCTGCTAGGTGCCAAGAGTCTTACTTCGCCAAGCACGGTTTCTAAGCTCCCGCTGAGCATCAGAGCGCAAACTGTTTATCTGCCCTAGTCGGACACCAAAGACCAGTGACCCAGGAACCAGGATGCTCAAGGCTCTGCCTTCTGTTCGTCCACCAGTCCCCTGACCACATCCGAACCCACACCGTCCGCAGACACTCAGACCCCCAAGTCGCCCACGTCCAGCAAGCTCACCTTTTGGCATTTGTTCACCAAAGCCGTCTCCCTGCGGACGCTCGTGGACCTGGTAAACCGATCTGAGCAGCAAAGTTGTCATTCCCTGTGGAAGGAAGGCGAGTTTGAGGTATCTTGCGTGGGTTGGTCTCGGGGCCATAGTTGAGGAGCATCTGCCGATCTAAGTTTGTGTTGTCAGGTGCTGAGGAAGATCTATATGATCTCTATATACTTCATATATACTTCATGAAAGAAGTTCTGCGGAAGCTGCTGTTCAAGATTCCAACAGGCTGTGGCGAACACGCAGATGGCTTCGGGCTCTTTCTGCCAAGATAGCTCTTCCGAACAGTCGAAAGGCCATGCCACCTTGACAACTTGTTTCAGTCGCTGCAGCTCCACCAAAACGTCTTGGAAGGTCTACAAGGAAGAGCTGAAGCAAGCCAGGAGGCTGGCCTCCGCTCCCGGTGTCGTCTGCGGCATCAAATTGCAAAGACTACAGGGCTAGCTTAGGCTAGCCTTGCCGGGGAAAGGGATAAATAATTCTTTACACTAGGTTGTGCGAAACCGACGAGGAAGTCTGCGGACTACAAGACCTTCCAAAGCTTGGGGGAGAAACTGGACAAAGCAGAAGGAAAGGACAAATGGAAGCGCTTTTGCCTCGGATCACACTCAGACATGAATGGCCAGAACCGCTGGACAGCGCAGGTGAGGACAATTCTCCACTCTTCGATTCGCAGCACTTGCGTGGCTCTGGTTAGCTGATGTATACGGATGCAGAAGCAAGCGGGCAACACAACCAAGGAGAGCGTACAAAAAGGTACCGAGAAATGATGGCCCTGAGCCAAGTTTCGGAACTGATCAAGCGTCTGTCGGACCGCTCGACACCCCAGGCAAGAGGCGACGTGGATGCTTGCATGTATGACCCTCGTCAGCATCAGGCTTCGAACATATGTAGCCGTCGCCAGATACTTGAGAGTCAAAGCAATGTTGGGGCTCCAGGGCACTAGATCACTAGATGCAATACTAGGTTTCGTCTCGCCGAGGTCGTTGCCTTTGCATGCAAAGCAGTGGCAAAGAATCATACTTCAGTCCCAGTCCGATCATATCGAGGCGTTACGTGGAGAGCTTCTGAGGAAGCACTTCGGAATTTGCAATCCAGCGCTCTTCCAGGCAAGATGGCCTGACCTGCACCTCAGTACCTTCCTTGCCACCATGGCACCGACGAGGCATGCAACACCGGCACGAAAGTCGTCATAGAGGAGTACGTGGCAACGGTGTGTGAGGTCGGCAGCCCAACTGAGCATCTCACAATTGACTGGACCTGACTCGCGACCGGTACTTGCAGGCCATGGCTTGGGTTGGATTTTCCTACAACTCCCCATCAACACGAACAGATCTGCAGACCAAGAAGGCTGGTTTGCAGACGGTGGTGCCCCAATGGTCCGGTAAGCCGCGAAGGATGCGATTCACGAGCGCTTGGCCTTCTTCAACGAGAGCAAAGCCCAGCAAAGTCTCGTTAGCGGTCGTCAGTGTATTGACTTTTTTGGTGCACGTGCGCAATTAGGACCAAGCATGGCTTTGGTCGAAGTGCCCTTCTGCTCTCCGGCGGTGCATCGGTGGAAGCCTCAGTCTCACATTGGAATGAGCGGACTCATGTGGATAAGCTTCAGTCGAAATGGCAAAGCATCGCCACGCGCAGACATGAAGTTACACAACTTAGCCAGTCGTCTGAAAAGGGTCGCCTCAGTTTACAATGACGGCGTGACCTGTAGGTTCGATAGTGATTTCAGTGAGAGAGTGGTTGAAACGTCGCAAGCAAACTTGACGTGCAAGCAGGAATCAGGGAATTGGTTCGTTTGTTTGTTGATTCGATGCCTGCGTCACCCCTCAGCCGTGGCCCAGTTCAAGTAGTTGCCTTGGACCCAGCCTTGGCAGGTGGGCATGTACCATTTCGGAGTGGTGAAGGCGCGTGTCTCATACCTTAGGGTTGTGGCGAAGCCTGCAGCAACTGCACAACAAGTCAACAGGGGGCGTTGCAATCTTTCGATCGCTGTGCCGACTTTTCCGTGGTTCGATCCCCTTCAGATCTGTGGAATTCATGGAATGTCGTGTCCCCCACCCCTGCGCAACTGGGCCGTTGCTTTGAATGCTGCATGTTCAAAACTGGATCTCTTCCAGGTTCACCCAAACAGATTCAAACCGCAATCCAAACCAGCAGGCAATCCAACATCACCCAAGCTTGTACTTCCAGATGCGGACATGTTAAAATGGATTTCAAAGGGGTTGGATTGCTTTGCTTGTCGGCACATGGCCTTCTGATCTGCCGGCATCCTCTCGTGCTGATCGTCTTTGCTAAGCTCTGTAATAAAAAAAGGTCGTCAGCATAAGATCTTTGCAGTAGCTGGTTTTCCGCTGCTTGAAATGTGGCAACTGTGCACCGGAAGTCGTGCCCTCTCTTTGACTCCCTTATCTTTGTCATTGGGTTGCTTTTTTGCCGACGGGGCAGTTGTGCACAGATCTGTGTTGGGTCCATGCGGTCTGGGAGGCGCTGCACCTCAACGGGCTGCTCCCACGCGTCATGAGTGGGACTTCAGCCGGATCCATCGTGTCCGGCCCCGAGTTTGTGCAGACCGAAAGAAGGCGATTCCAAAAGCGGTTCGGGCGGCGCGTCTGTGCAGAAACGGTCATGAATGTCGTAGGTTGCCCCTTAGTTGAATCCGAAGCTCTGCGAAGCAGACGGAGGCAATCTCACTAATTACCAGTCGTGGGGCGAATTGAGCGGATACGACTTCACTCGGCCACAGGTGGTTGTCGTACCCATATCAGATGCAGCACGATTCTGTGGGGAATTGGGCTGGGCCTGTGTTGCAGGCGAAGAGTGGTACAGACGGGAGGAAGCTAGCACTAGCCCCGTCCGTCTGGTTTCTATATCAAGATGCCTAAAAGGTGCGGAGTGCTTGGCGTGAGGACCGATGCAGTCCCCGTCTTAGAAGTTGTTGCAAGCATGCAACTGCAATTTGGACCGGGGGTGTGTGGGCTTGCACGGTGACCAGGAACTCATGGAGATGTGGGACGTCACTCCGCAAGATTTGAGAGTGTGTGCAGACTGATGAATTGCCTTTGTGTCGGCTGTCGGCATCTGTCGGCTTCTCTCCGTCATCAGGATACGTTTTCCTGGTCTCAGAACTTCAGCTTGGATTTCTTCGGAGACCTGGACCTGCGCATGCAGTCGAATTTAGTGTGAGCGCCAGAAGGCACTGCGCAGCCCCGACAGAGATGGATTTCTGCTACTGCTGCGAGCTTCGTGGCCTAGTTTCGTTGCCGTGTCCGTGCCTCGCAGGACGTGAACCGCTTCCTGAAAACAGGGCAGGAACTCTACTCGTCCGAGCACCTGGGGCGAATCCTCAGGAGCGGAGAAGCGAGGGGCCTCGACAGAGCTGAGACCCCTGCAACTGACGGCCTGGCAGGGACAACATGGGTGATCTGACTTTTCTGGAGGCCTTCGACAGGACAGGTACAGTTAAGTGAAGTGTTAGCACTGAGAGGGGGAAAAGCACCGGACAAGGACCGGCCGCATCATCAACATTACGGTGAGTGGCCTCCCTGGCAACACGAGGCAGAGCCGCTGGCGTCAGCAGCGGCAACGCTGACACAGCTTCACAGCTCTGAGGTACCCAATGCTGCTGAACTACTTGACTAGCCCACATGTGCTGGTGTGGGACCTTTCCGCGTTTGAGGGCTTCTGCGTCAGGGCGTCACTGTCGAGAAGTGCTAAGCTTTTCTTCCATCCATCCCAGCTGCGGCCTTTGTCTCAAGCCTTGCGTGCCCCCACGAGCCATGGCTCTCCATGTTTTATTGCCGGCGCGTAGCAGGATCAAGTCGGGACCCAGCTCCTCACCTTGACGCTCATATCACTACTTGCAATATGCACAGCATGGCCATCATGGCCTCTTGCATTCTGCTATGCTATCCGCTTGAACAGAATGCAGCATGAGGCCTTCATGCAGGGCCTGCGCAGCAAAATCTTGGACCACACCGGGTGCCTTGATCACTGGGCGGTTTCGTTCACGGGTGAACAAACGGTGGAGGCTTGTGAAGGTCTTTATCTGGGGACGTGCTTGCAAAGTGGCCCCAAGCGTCGGGTCCTTCTTTAATGCAAGATTGAAGTTTGTGGCGCTCAGGTGTCGCTTGTTGCTTGGCCGGCTGTTGTCTTTGGCTACGGCGCGGGAAAGACACGAGGTACTGCACGGAGAAGCACCGATCAGAGTGCTCTGGCTAAATGTCAGGCGCAGGTCATAATTGCACTCGCTTCATAGATGGCCTGGCTCGTGAGGCGTCCTTCTTCAATTGCGCACGGGCGGACGACTCGAAAGAGGCACAGAAGTTCCTACAACCTCGCTGTGAGAAAAGCCGCTTAAGCCCACGCCCGCAATGAGCTTCTTGACGAACCTCCTTCCGTCACAAGGACGAGCTCAGAATCTGCTCCATCGGCTGGGCAAAGTCAGCCAGTCCCTCACGGAGGATGAACTCCGAGCAGCCATCGACGTGCTCGCAGATCCGCTGGAAGGCGCAATTTGCAAGCTGTTGCTACTAGAAGAGGCTGCTAGCGCGAGCCCGAGCCGGCATCTTCCGCAGGCCTGCTGCGCGACGCAGCAGAGGCCAAGAGACTGCTTTGGAATTGCTTCACACGTCCACACTCTTCTCTGGTGCAAGCATGCTGTGACCATGGAGCACATGCCTCATGCCTCGTGCCCAATCGAGTCAGGTCGACGCCAGAACTCTGAGCAGATTGACGGTGTCCATCGCCCGAGTGCATCTGCGGTTACCATCTGCATCGCACTTAAGGGTCTTAGCGTCTGAAGCTGCAAGCGCATGCACATGTTCGCTCATATTGCGGCGATCGCAATTCTCGCTCAATTCTGTGGTGTTCCAGGCACGGCTACAAAGACTGGCTGAAGACAGCATCCAATTGCTCACGCGAAGGAAGACCGCCAATCCGCAGGTCTGCTCAGGGTGCTAAGTCTGCTAAGTCTTGATGCGAGAATAGGCGGGATCGACATGTTAGGGGTTCTGGTCTCCCGCACGATCATTTCTTGGATCTCGAGTGCTTGTCCACGCTATAAAAGCATCTTCGTCGCAAGCACGCTTTCCTGCTTCGTACCTCTCGAGTACCAGTCGAACACCCAGTTAAACGTTTGCACCTTGTCGCGATCGGGGTTGATGAGCCCCAGCCCGCATACTGTTCGTGCTGTGGTTTTTTCCAAACTTCCGGTTGTCTAACCAAAAGCCGCCCGAACCGAAAGCAGGCTTGCGTCTGGCATGTTGATAACCACTTGTAATCGCAGTGTAAGCAACTAGCTGCAACTAGCTCCTTGCCATCAGCTCTAAGGACAGAATAGATTTCCGAGCAGATTCTTGCTGTTTCAAGCCTGTTGCAGGCTGAAGTTGCAAGCATCACGCACTTACCCTGCACGCTATCGAACGCTATCTCTAGCCAAGGGCTGGATTGAAGTCGGTCCTGTGCCACCCGCAGTGGTCTGCACCAGAGGGTCTTGCCAAGTCTGCCTGCAATTGCTTGAAGTTTTCCACTGAGCAGGACATCGCAAATGCTGCTTGGGCTCTGGGAAGACTGCAGTTTTCTACAAGCTCTGCAACCTTGGCAACTGAGCTGTTGGCAAAGGCCGGGCTTTGATGATGCTTTACACAAGTGAATAATAGCAGCAGAACAGCCAGCATCCATTGTTGAATTCGTAAGGTCTCTGCAGAGTTCGGCGCCATTGTGGCTCGTTTGCACGAACACCTGGTCGGCCTGAAGCTTGCTAGCGGGCGTGCATGCATTTTGGCGGACAGCTTGCATCCGATGCGCGATGGGAGCCCAGGACTTAGCCCAGAGTCTGTGGTCCTGTGCCGCTTTAAAGCTCCACAGTCGGCTGGCCCAGCCCTTGCTTGCCGCCGCAGCGGGGAAGTGCAGTGAGTTGTCCGTCGCTGGCCTGCCAGAGCCCTGGCCCGCTCTAGTTGCACATGGGCCATGACATAGGCGACATAGGCCCAATCCCGGAAGTGACTGCAAGGTCCAGTGTGGTCTGGTCCGCAGCAACATTGGCGATGGCTGATGTCTGGGCCTGCCAAAGGCTCGGAAACCGTGCCCAAGAGCTCGCCGACCGATGCCGCGATCTGGCCCTGAAACAGTTTTGGGCCGGGGTGGTGATGGTATCGGTGCGACTTGTGGCTATGGCGGCATTTGAGGTGCGCGAGAACTCTCCAACTTGACCTGGTCTTTTGCCACACTTTGTCACTCGCCACGAACCATGCTCGGGCAAGGTTGCAGTTGCGTACTTGCGAAGACTTAGCTTCGCCAACGGTAACTCGAGACCGCCACCATCCTCAGGCACGTTGACTCGACCTTTGGCCATCAGCTTTGCAGCGCTAGCCGCGGCGGGAGCTGAGAAGTTCAAGTGTCAAGAGTTGGCCAACATCGCCTGGGCATTTGCTTCAGCGCCTTGCGCCGGAAGTTGCCCCAGTCGAGCTGAGTGAAAAGCTCTGGTTGATGCCCCCGAGGCATCTGCGCTGACCCGAAGAGACTGAGCTGTACTTGGCTGTTTGTCATGGGCAATCGTGGGTTTTCCTTCTTCGGTCTTGGACGGGGGTGCGCTACTTCAAGTTCAGCTAAGGCTGTGTTGGCAGCATAGAGCAGCCGGGGCTGACTTTTCGCTACTACTAGTACTAGATCTAGATCCACTAGATTCTGCCCACCTATCGTCGAAAGTAGATCACCAAAGCACACACAGAAATGCCTTCAGGAACGGTAGCACATCAAGCGACGAACTGTCAGCTGTTTTTATGAATCGATGAATGATTTGTTTTTGTTTTGCCGTCGTCGCATCTGCTCATGTCTACGCGGGTCTAGATCTACAGTCGAAGCAGGTTTTCCTCCAGCACTCTGAGAGCAGGGTCAGGTGCGGTGGCAGCTCGAAGGGTGCTGTTCCAAATCGCACCCTTGCTGCTACGGCTTCGCGAGCAGGGAGAACCGGGGGGAGGGTTTCTTAGGGTCATTATGCCGCAAAGCGCGAAGAGGATGGTTTCCCCGCACCGATGTGTTTGTGCTTCCATGTGCTTCCAATTCAAACAAATTATTGGCTCAGGAGAATTGGTGCAAACCCTCAGGAGGCTGACGACGAGTGCGCAAGCACAGGCAAGCCAATTTAAGCCACAGGACCGACAGTAACCCCACCTGACCGGCAAGTACTGGACGTGGCACTCACGCTCGTTGCCAGCACAACCGTGGTAAGCTCAGCGACTCTGAGATCATCTGAGATCTCAAAAGTTTGACCCGCAGCTGAACAATGTGATGTTCAGACCGGCATTTCGGGTTTCGTCGCAAAGTCAAAGCACGCCCAACAACAGAAGAAGCTCAAGGTTTTCATAAGGTCACGAAATCGGGATGAGCAGGCATCGCGACAAAGCAGAGCAAGCAAGCGTCGGAGAGCCGGTTGCCACTTGCCCAGAAGGAGCTCTGCAACTTCAGCTGGGCATTGGTGGCAGCAGAAGCACCCTGCACGGAGTGGCTTGCCGCAGCTGCTGCCATATTTGAGAGCTCGCCGGCGCGCTTTAATTCCAAGGAGCCGCCGTTGTCTTTGACTTGAAGTGCGTTGCGCTTTTTTAGCAGCACGTGCATGGCAGGACCTGGTGCAACTCACATGGTCCTTTGCTCGCGCCTCTTCTGAGAGCACTGCCATTGCTGGAGTGGCCAAGCAGGCAGTGCGAGAGCTGCGACAGCCGCTGAGCCTCAAGGACCTTTCAGATTTGATGTGGTCTTGTGCCAAGACACAAGTACGAGAGAAAGCTCTGCTACAGTCCTTCACCCAGTCGCTCCTTTCGGACGGCGCAGCGGTGTCAAGATGCAAGCCTATCGAACTGTCGAACTTGGCGTGGTCCATCGTCAAGCTGGGGCTACAAGAGGAGCAAGAGTTCTTCTTGAGTGAGCTCTGTCGTTATTCTGTCGAGAAGATGGCGGACTTCAAACCCGCTGCTTGCATGAATCAAGCTAAGTTCCATTACGTAGTTCATGCAACTGACGGCTTCTGTGTTGGTTGGGGCCGGTTGCAGCCTTCTGCCAGGTGGAGCTTGCCAACTTGTCATACTCGCTCGCGAGGGCTTCCATCCGTTGTGTCGGCACTTTTGCAGCTATCGCGCGGCAGGTGGAGCAACAGAGCCTTGATGGCAGAGCCCGATCAGCATGCAGCAGTTTGATTATGCAGCATGAATTGAAGTATATAGCCGCATTTCCCTAGGCTCAGAGGCAAAGATTCTTCATGCCTGTTCTTCACTGAACCATACTTTGACGATGTAGCGCAGGATGCTTGCACATATAATCGTTTCCAACGGCAAGTGTAGCCAAGTGCTACCAAGTCCAGGCTGGAGTCGTTCACTGCCTATGACCTCGGCTACACTGCCTGGGCATTTGCAGCTTTACGGAGTTCTAGTCACGTGTGTTCAGCACGCAGACATGTGTTTCTGTCGCCTTTGGCTCTCAGATTGTCGTCACTGAGGCCACCGCCAACATTTCGAGAACAGATCTGTTCCATAAGATCGCGCGGAAATCGACAAGCATGCTGGGTGACTTTACCGAACAAGGCTTCTCAGATTTGGTGTGGTCCTTTGCAATCTCAAGCGTCTTCAGCAAGGACTTGACACGACTGCTGGTCACCCAATGTTTCCTCCCACCACAGGGGTCCGAGCCTCCCTCCTGCGAGGATTTGTTCATGGCTGTGCAGATGCGGCTGCATCAGGGCTTGGATGCGCAAATGTCTTCGCCCAGCAGGATGATGGAGCATGCTGACTATCTCAGGAGACAGCGGTTTGTTTCGGACTTGTGATGGGGCTTGTAATGTCGGAAACCGATTTGCAGTGGCAGTGGTTGGTGGAAGCGCACTTGTAATGGAGTAAAACGTCGCAAGGCAGTCTGAGAGCAGCAGGCTGGCAGGGGCAGGGGTTCATAGATCTCTGTGTTTTTTGTTCTTGTCACAGCTTTCGAGACACGGCGCCAGCACGGGGGAAGATTCCAGGCTCGGAATCTGGCTGAAGGGAGCGGGGCCATGCTGGCACCCGGGAAACTGTATACCTGACAACATCTCTTCCAGAAAGCCTCCCAGCAGAAAAGGAGATTGGTTTGGGCAATGAATTTCAGCGGCATATTGACCGATCCAATACGAGCGCAGGCCCAAAAGGCTTTCCAGGGTTTTGGTGACACTTGGCTCAGACCGGGCTTCTGGAGTTTTCAGTTTAGCGAAAGTCCGCACGACCGATACAGCTAGACAGAAGCTCTGAAGTCAGCATGCGCGTCAACTGCGGCATCAAGACTGCAGACACTAGTCGCTACTTGCAAACAATCCCAGAAATCGAGGACAAGCTGGATGCAGAGCGGGGTTCTAGCATCTTTGCTGCTCGGTTGCAATAGAAGGCTTGTGAAATTATCTGGCGATTGGACATGTCGATGTGGTATGTTTGGATGCCCAGGCATGTTTCGGTCGGTCGATTCGGAGCGGCGTCATCTCTTCCTGCGAGCCAGGATGTTTCTGGCATGCTTTGCTATGCTTTGCTGGCGGCGTCACGCGCAGACCGGCCGTTCAATTTGGCAGGAATCGCTTGGGAAACTTCTGGCTTAGTCGTCCTTCACAAGCCAGCCGGCTGGAAGGTGGACACCGAAGGCAAGCTGCACCGGCAGTTGCGCCGCGCCAGCTGTTTGACCCTTTGATCTCCTTGGCTTATGTCACCTCGCAGCTGGATCAGGTGAACAGCTGGAGAAGGACGAGAATTGTCTGCTGTCAAGCTACCAGCAGGCGCAGGATCCTGCAGTCCCTTTGAGTGACGTTCAAGGACATAAAGCGGTGGACAGGTCTTCTTTCAAGCCCGGTGTCACCCCATCCTCCTGGACGTGAAGCACTCCAGAGGGCACCAGGGCTCTTAGAGTCTTAGAGCCGAGAGGGCCCACGGAGCTCCGCCTTTCTCCGAGGTTTCTTCATCGTTTGGACATCCCGAGCTCGGGACTGGTGACCTGCACATTGACCTACAAGGCCTTCTGGGACCTGCAGCAACAGCTGGTCACTGGAACGTTCGCGCGAGAATATGCCACTTGGCCCCGGAGATGTGGTTCAAGGGCTAACTTGCTCAGACACTAAACCGGACTAGTCGTTTGCGCGTCTGAGCTTGCTCGCTGAGGTGTCGTTGTGCTATGGCTGGGCATCGGTGGATCTGCAACACATCGGTGTCAACATCTCTTGGAATCGACGCGTGTCTTCACTGAGCAAGGCCGGCGTCTCAACCAGCTCAGCGGCCCAGGGTTAAGTTACCAAGCACAGGCGAGTGAAATTGTAGCAGAACGAGCAGACCTGTCATGACCTGTCCCCAGCCATGTGTCTTTCCCACGTCTGAGGTGGGGCCGCAAGGGAAGACATCTGTCACGGATCTCAAGGTCGTGGCACACTGTGCGCGACACGGAGAGGCCTCGGCTCAAGCTTTTTCACTCGATTTCTTCATTTGCTGCAGTGCAAATGCGAGGCGTTGAGCTTGCTACTTTTCTCCATACGGACCGGAAGACGTCACCAGATTCGAACACAATCGGCTCATCTGGGGCATGCAGTTGTTCCTTGGCCATGCTTGGAGGGGGTTGTGATTTGGCGAGCAGATCCTGGTGATTCCTGGTGTTAGGAAGGATACAGTACCAATATTAGATTCCGATATGCATTACGTGTTTTCTGCGCACATAACACGTGCACACACAGATGCGCATGTAAAACTAAGATTATATATGTATACATAGTTATATTTATTTTGTTTGTTATCTATGTGTATATATATATATATATATATGGTGATGCCAAGCGGGAGCCAAACAAAACAAATATATAGATTATATATGCATCTTCATGTACAAATTGGCTCAAGTCCTGTTTGGCTCGAAACCTGGTTGGTTGGTTCTCTGAGCCCCCTCTCTTGCCGAGGGTGATCCCCTCTTGCAGACAAACGTTCTCACTCCCTTGCCGAGGGTCTGTCCCCTTCTGCGACCAGGGAGGTCTCCCAGACGGAAGTCGGCTCAGGAGGTCTACTCCTCCCTGCTTGATGAGTCTCGGCGGCCACAGCCCGAGATCGGCGGCGGGTCCGGACGACGCCCAGACTGAGGTCGATGACCGATTTGGTGATGACGATGATCTTACTGATGCTGAAACATTGCTTCTCCATGATTCTCCGTCGAGAGGAGGGAACTGGTGGTGGTGGGATAGGGGACGACCGTTCCTGGGAGGGACTGGTGCTGACATGCCTCCTCACACCTCTCCTGCTGCTGTACCTGCTGCGAGAGCGCGTGTACGTGCTAGAGACCGTGCCACTGACAGGAGCGAGATGTTAGCTGTAGGTTCTGTACCAAATCACGTTGCTCCCTCCGAACCGACCCCTGCCACGGCAGAAGCTGACGATAGCCCGTTCTCTAAAGCCGTTAGGGAAGCCAGTAATGAGGACCGAGAGGCGGCAACGGCGGCTCTCCAGGCAGCTTTAGGAGGTGCTTCCGTCCGATCGAATATAGCCCGTGTAGAACTGCTCTACCTTGACGAATCTCCCCCGGCCCGCTGGAAAGTACAACAGGCAGTCATTGTCAAACTTCGGCAGGTCATCGAAGCCAGAGGGAAGAAATCCAACCTTCGTGGACAGGTTGGGAACCTTTGGGTGTCGAGGAACAGGAGTATGGACACGGACTGGAAAGGAATTGTCTGGTTTAAAGGCCAACAACTCTTGTTTTCGGCGGATAGACAGGAACCTGCGCCAGAGGCGATGATGTTCCTGGGCGCAAGGGGAAACGAGTCGGGCTGGTGGACCAGCGTGCCCACCATTACGCGGATTTTAGAGCTCCCTCCTGACACTGTCAGGGACCAGCTTGCTGGTCACTAAGACTCAGAGCGTGTACCAGCCTCAGATCGCAGCGCAATATAATTCGTTCGCATGCACGTGCGCTACCTGGAACTTACACGGAAAGAGTTTGGATAGTCTCACACTGTTGTTTCACGACCTTGACCCTCCCGACGTTTTTAATGCTCCAGGAAGTAGGTGACCTTACAAGCATGTGCCCAGGCCAGACACGCACCTTGGATGTTCGCCTGGCGGGAGACGACTATGTCGCCTACCTCCATAAGCCACCTCGCACTCATCTGGCAGTCGCCATACTAATTAACGCCAGACTGGCGCCCGCTCACCCTACATACTTTTTCGGCCCTCCCGGATGCGAGTCCGCCTTGGGACCTCTTCTTTGGCCTTAAGCACGATTCATTTGCCGTACGAACAACGCACGGATTCGGTGGACGTCTGGCTTTACACCTCAGAAAGCCTCTCCCAGCTACTGGGAGGAGTCCCTGATGAACACTCTGTATTCTTAGGTGGTGACTTCAACCAACCCCTATATGTCCCTAGTGACTCCTTCGCGCCGGTGGCTCAGCTGAAACTTCTGACATCCAGATTTCGTCTGAGGATTTCGGAGGATGTGGGCGCCACCTGGCACTCTAGAGGGATCCTTTGGACTTTGTCCTTTTCCGCCATGACGGCATGCTCGGTCATGCAACTAAACGTGAGGACCTCAGATACGCACTTCCCTGAGACCATGACATGGTCCTTGTTACTCTGTCCCTCGTGCCAGCGGCGGAGCACCTCAACCGGAGGGAACGCAAGAATGGGTGCGGGAGATGGTGCTTCGATAACTTGAAGTGGGCATCCCTGATATCGGAGATGCCTGATTCCCCTAGCGTAGAAGATCTCAGCCAGGCCTTCTCCAAAACTAGCTACCGACCCAAGCTTCCGAGGTACTCAGGCAGCCTTGAAACAAGGCATTCTTGAACGTGCCCACTCGGGCGACTACGCTGCAATTGCACATTTGAGAATGGGTGCGGCACAAACTCGGGTTGCGGGAAGTTACATCCAATCAAGGGGTGGGCAGACCCAAGCTACGGAAGAACTCAAGCACTATTTTATGAGGAGAAGTTTGCCTCCAATAAGTCAGGCCACAATCCCCGCATTGCAGAGCAGGTCCCGGCATGAAGGGGTTAACCTGATACCCTCTGCACTTCAGGAAGTCCGGGATGCAATATCAGCATGCAAGACTGGGACTTTTGCTGGCTCTGATGGAGTCACGTATGAAGCTCTGAACGCTTTCGCGCTCTCGGGTGCTGCCTACAAGCTAGTGAACCAACTCAATTCCTACTTCTGCGGAGAGATTTCCATTCCTGCGCTCTGGAAGCAGGGATCCATCTGTTTGCTTCCTTAAGGTCTCGCAGCCCCAAGGCCCCCAAGACCTACGACCGATCGCGCTCACACCGTGCCTATGTAAGATCTATTCCAAGGTCCTATTGATGAGGCTGGAGTCTAAATGGCCTGAGTATAAATCTGGACAGTTTGCATGCAGGAAGGGATCCCGGACGATTGATGGGGTAGCAGCGGCTGCTGTGGCGCTCAAGATCGGTAGTTCAGGCTACCGCCCTAAACCGGTGGCGGGCAAGCTGGATTTAAGGCCTGCTTTTGACTCCGTGTCACACGATGCGATGCTACGTTATGTCCTTGAGGTGGGGCCTTCACATGAAACCTGGACCTTATGGCAGCTTTGCGGTGATTGCCAAGTTAACATGCGCTTGGGTCCAGCTTCATGGACTACCAGGCTCAACCAAGCAACCTTAGGTATGTGCTTGAATGGAAGACAGAGGCGACAGTGCGTTTCTGCACTGCCGCACGCGTGGGTGCCCGACTGCTCTGTCTGCGACGCTTTGCGCTATGCTCAGCCCATGGGTGATGGGGCGACGCACTGACGAATAGAGGCTGCTATGGAAACCTGTGCCCTGACGCTGCTGAACACGTGGATATAGTGTCTGAGGCCTTCACCTTGAACCGTGAGCCACTGTGGCGACAATCTGCAGTCCCGAAGTTTGGCCCACATGTTTGACTGGCCACGCCTGGTACCTGGATGCTGGCACAAACGGGGCTGTTGCCCGCCTATGATACTGGAAAGGCAAGCTACCTGGCTTGATATGGTCGTGTCCACTACATGGACTGCCTGTGGTCTGAAGCAAGAAGGTCATGGGCCAGCCCGCTGAGTTTCGAAACATGCAGCGGTCATGAGCCAGTCCGACGAGTCTGGAAACATGAGACATGAGGGGGCCCGCCTGATCGTCAATGCACCTACAAACGGAGCGTTTCTGTCATGGGAGATTGCTGCAGTGGTATCAAACGATACTCCTGCTTTCAAGTCTTGGGTTCGTGATGAACTTGCAAGTTGTTGCTGAAGTTATGTATTGAACTGTCGTCGAAGAAACTGTTAGAAGCATCTTGGAGTTGAAGGTAATTCTGCTGGTTTAGTTGTTGTCTTCTGGAATCCTCGCCTGACTCTGTCGAGCGCGAGTGCCAAAAATACATATATACATGCATGCATGCATGCATACATACATACATACATACATACATATATATATATATGTATACACACACGTATACCTTGTACTTGAAGCAGACGCACAACGCCAGAAACGAAGGAAGCCTCGATGGGGGAATGCGGAACATGGGCACCTGTGCGCTCGCCCCCTTCGCCTCGATGCCCCAGAAAAAATGATGACCCACCATATGTTCGGACCTCGTGTCGGTGTTGGGGAGGCTGCCATCGCGGGCCCCGGGGCACGCGAAGGTATCTCGAACCCCGAAACCTGCAATTTCCACGGCCTCCAGGCGAGCCTCCAGGGCCAATGGCAAAACGCGGTCCGATGATGCGCAACAGGGCCGGCGCTCGGCTCGGGGGCGACCGAGAACCACCCTGTCAGGTATAATTAATTAGATTTAAAACTGCGTAATGTACAGGGAGGGAGCTTTCAGGTAGAAGCGTATCGGTATTTTTGGCAGAAAGCCGGCCGGAACGGAGGTGGTGCTTGTGGATAGGAGGCCCGTCTAGGGGGATGATTGGGAGAGCCCGTCCATTCAAGGTGAAAATTCTATCGGTGATGGGCAGAAGGGGATGGGGAAGCACGTCTTTGGCATTTGTCTTTGGCAGGAGTGGAGGGGGGAGTACGCAGGAGAGAGTCAGGGTGGGGGGTTGGGAGGTTGGGCAAAACAACCACTGGAAAAAACGGTGCCATTTCTTAAGAAGCATGCTTTGTCAGTTAGATCCTTCAGCTCCAATCACCGGGATGGTGCCAATTGTTCACTGGCAGCAGCGCGCTCTTGTGGCGAACGTGGTGACAAGACCGATTTCTCAACACTGCTCGAGGCATTGTCCGGAGTAGCTCGTAACAGCTAGTAATGTCAATATCAAGAGCGGGATTATAGCGGTAAAAAGGACTCTTCTGTAACGTTTTGCCACTCCATCGGCTACACAGTGAGACTCCAATCACAGAATCAGAGGCAGGCCTGACGCAGCAAACAGATAAGCCGCAGGCCCAAGGGCCAGGCAAGGTCACGGCCATTCACGGCCCGTCGTACTTGGCACGCTTAATGTCAAGATGCTCTACGTTTTTTTATCGTCCAAGCTTGACTGTTTTGATTACCGAGCTTGGATCTTCTGCATTGGTTGATCCTTCCGCGGCTCCTCTTGTTTGAGGTGTGCGATGGGAAATACACAGCTGCTGCCACATTCAATGCCACGCTACAGTGGTGTCAAAGGACCGCTTTGCTAGTTTGCATGACTCTTTATGTTCCAGCTCGTGCATCCGCTGGCCCATCTTGAAGGAATTTCTTGCACCGATGCCGACTGGCTTTCCACTCTGGAGCTGATCACATTGACATCGTCGTCGCACTGCTCCCGACTCAGTCAACGAATGCCTCACGCGTGGTAGGACTGATGATTATCACGCTGGATGTTGCGGACCCCGCCAAACTAGCCATACCAAATTTCAATTGTGGTGATCCAGTAGTGGGTTGGAGCCAAAGAACACGCACTGCTTCCAAACCAACCCTGTAAGGATAAACCAGGCCGGCCACGGGTCTGGAGCTTCTTGGTTTTCAGGATAACTATTGCTGCTACTACTACTACTACTACTACTACTACTACTCCCGCTGCTGCTGCTGCTGCTGCGATATGACTTGTATACGTAGAATTTCTGTTTACACTCATACGCGCTCTATGTACTTTCTGTATAGATAGAGACACACACACACACACACATATATATATATATATGTATACATATGTAGATAGATAGGTAGATAGATAGATAGATTGATAAATCAGATTAGATTAGATGGATAGATAGATAGACTATGCAGATATATAGAGTATCAACAGTATGTATAGTATACATAGTTCGTATATATATATACATATATATATATATGGACACATATGTATACATATATATATATATGTATGTATATGTAGAGAGAGCATATACTTTTATACTACGTATATTTAGAGAGAAAGCATATATGTATTGTTTTTACCATATAGTCTATGTTGCGGCAGCCGCGACACACTATATATACCATATGTGAATTACAAGTACCTACATGGTACACGTAGGACGTATACACTGAAGCGTCTCCTTGAAAGGGTCGGAAGGTTTTCGTAAAGAGCGGCTTCCGTCGGGACTCCTGTAAAAGGTTCCCTTGTGCTGAATCTCCTGCGCCTGCACGGAATCCCGTAAAATACAGTGAACAAGTGTACTGTCTACGGAATCCCCACGACACCGACCGCCACCCGCCAAAAAAAGAAAAGGATCAAAAAAAGAAATGTAAACAACACCAGAAAAATCTCCAACCCCTGCAGGTCCTGACATCAGAAGTCCTCTTTCGCTAGTGTTTTGAACTTATCAAGTTTTCTGGATGTCGGACCTTCGGATGAAAGAATACACCCCAGCCTAGAGCATAATGCAGATCATGTGGTTTTGGCATGAAGTCCGCAAGCCACTGCCACAAACCTTTGTGTATCCGCGCGGTTCGTTGGTTCAGCTGTTGGTGAGCCTTCTCAAACGGGTTGTGTAGCCTCGGTTATTTAGTATGTGTTTTTCCCATGTGACTTCCTGAACTTGCCTGACGCATTTCTTCCCGACGGCCCTCAATGGAAACAGGATCATTCGGCCTATGAGCGGGGAAGTGGTGGCTTCAGACTTTTCTAAGGTTGTTGGTGTTGGTTTGGGTGTTTTCCTTAGTTCTGAAGCCGGGATTTATTTCGTCCTTCGCCTCGTAGTTGCCGACTCGTTAACCCGCAGTGCTGTCACAGGCGTGTCCGGTGGTTGACAAAACAACAACGACAACAACAACTACTACAACCACAAATACTACTACTACTACCACCACCATTATTACCAGTGACTACCACTGCTTCTAATAATGAGAATAACGGCTATTGCTACTACTATTAGCGCGACTACGATTATAGTTAGGAATAAGTACTCTTAACAACAATAACAAGTACTATTCCTACCATTACCATTACCACTACGACGACGACGACGACGACGACGACGACTACTACTACTACTCCTACTGCTACTGCTACTGCTACCGCTACTGCTACTGCTGCTACTGCTACTAACCACTACCACTGCGACTGCTACTGCTGACTAC